GTTTCCCACAGGCAAAGAAAAGCCTCGTCCTGCTGCCGTACGTCATGGAGCAGCTGCAGAGTGATGAGAGTGATGCCAGAGCTGCGGCTCTGCCCGTGCTCGGTGATATGCTCCGGCTGCTGGAGGGGAAGACGTCCAGCCACACCACCCTGGAGCTGGCTGAGAAGCTCCGGCCGCTCTTTGACGATGTAAGGGTGGGGGAGACCCCTGTGCCCCTCTTTGCACCTCCATTCGTGCCTCCCACCGCAGCCCCCGCGCTCTGCAGGGGGATGCTTTGTCCCACAGCCCCCAGACCCCATTGCTGCCCTCGGTGGCTCTGCGCTGCATCCCAAACCCTCCGCATGGACTCACCCCAAGTGACCTCCGCATGGCCACCCTGCCACATGGGGGACAGTGATGGCAGGATGGTGGCAGACGTGCTGAGCCCCATCGATGTGCACCCTGCCTTGGCAGCATCCCCCAGCCCTCTGAGGGGTCTCCTTCTCCAGCGTGGGGATGTCCACCTCCAGGTCAGCCCCTTGCTTGCCATGGGCTTGGTGCTGAGGTTCTCCTCCCCCAGGAGTCAGACATCGTGCGGGAGCTCTCCATCCGTCTCTTCCAAAACACGATGGAGCTCGTGGTGGGTGCCAAAACCAAGAAAATGAAGAAGAAAGTGTGGGACAGCCTGGTGCCGCTGGTCTTACACCTGCACGACAAGGACAACAACGTGGCCAAGGTGGGATCCCCAACCTGACTGGTCCTTTGGGCAGGGCAATGCTGACACTGGACCTTTCAAATGTGTGTCACCGTGAGGTCTAGCTTGCTGAGTCCCTAGGACCAGGCAGAACCCCCCTCCCTGCCCACAACTGCCTTTCTCCCACTGCTGCCCGGATGGATGGGGAGGTGGGTCCCTTTCCCACCCAGCTCCCTCCACACAGCCTGTGGCATGAGTCCCTGCAGCCCCAGAGGCTGGGCTACGGCTCCGCAGCAGCCTGGGGCCACCAAGGCCAAAACGCTGAAGCCCTGATGGGCTTCCAGCCAGAGAGGGTGGCTGCCCTTATCTACCCCTGGGGTGCGGATCCTTGTGGCATCATCAGTCCCCAGCCGGTGCATCTTCCCTGCACGGGCTCTGAGCCCTGCCAAGATGGGGGACACAGGGACCTGTGCCCCTGGTGGTGGTGGTAGCATCTCTGCTTCTCACCAGGCCTCCCAGGAAGCCCTCTGCAGCGCTGGCCGGCTTCTGAAATGGGGGCAGCTGGTGCAGCTGGCCGACACTGCCCAGGCATGGAGGATCTGCGAGTGCCTGGTAAGCCCAGACCCAGTGCCCCCCAGATCTACCCCGGAGGAACCCTGCCCCGTGCCCAGCGGGGGGATGGAGGACTGTGCCCCTGTGGCTGCACGCACCCTCCCAGAGCAGGCTCTCCTCCAGGCTGTCCTCGCCCCCAGGGTTCCAGAGGGGACCCTGCCACCAGGATGGCACCCCAGCATCCCCGGTGAGCCCTCTGCTCCCTCCGAACCTCAATGCCCTATTGGCAAGGAGCTGGGAATGTCCTGCTGGGGGGAAGAAGGATGGCCCTGGGTAGGGGAGACCACTCGACCTGGGGGCAGCTCTGCACCAGCCCTGCACCCTGCTCCTCTCTCCAGCTGGCCAGGAACAGGAGCAAGGCCAAGGACTACCTGTACCAGAACCACCCCTACCTGCAGAGCCCGCAGGAGCACCTACGGTGGGAAGCTGTCAGATTCATCGGTGAGCCACCGGCCCCGGGGTCCCTCCCTCTCCCCAGGGTCCCTGTGTCCTGGCACGGGACCTGTGGGGCACCACTTCACCCCCTCCCACCCCTGCCTGCGCCGGTGTGACTGGCAGGAGGCTAATCCATCCCCTCCAGGATGCTGCACCACGGGGTCAGCCCTCCCCGGTGGCTGTGCAGCCGGGCGGGCTGGGTGGCAGTGTCCCCAATGGGCAGCGAGGTCCCCCCCAAACAGTGGGGTCCCTGACACGCTATGTCCCCCCAGGGCTCATCGGACGGCAGATGAATGAGGACAAGGAGATGGAGTATGTCACAGAGGGTGAGTGGGGGCAGCGGGGAGGAGGAAGGACCCTGGCACAGAGCTCCCCAGCCAGCCCGGGCGAGGGGGGATCTGCTCCCAGCACATCTATGGGGAGGGGGATGTTTCTGGTGGGGGGTGTTCCTGACCAGCAGCCTCCAGCCGAGTCAGCTGCTCCCTGGCTCCCTCCTGGCCCTGGGAATCACAGGGTGCGATGTGCCCTGCCTGGAGGGGACACAAGGGCTGTCACCTCACTGCATTGTCTCCACAGTCCTTGAAGACGCAAGGAAAGACATCAGCCCGCTGGTCTCCTCCCTGGCGACTCAGACAGTCCTCATCCTCAGACCACGAAGGCTGAAGTTGAGGTTTAACCCACAATGGCTGAGGTTACAGCTGCGGAGGCCATGGATGAGGCGACAGGCGGTCCCCAGCGAGGACTCTGCTCAGGCAGAGGTGAAGATGCAGCCCCAGCCCTAGGACACTCTGCAGGCTGGACTATCTCCTCTTCCCAACATCGAGCAGGAGAGGAGAGACCTCAGTCCCAGAGGAGCTGGCATCCTCTGGCAAGACAGTTCCAGTGGTCCAGGGCAACACCTGCCCACACGCTACGTCCTGGCCACAAAACACCAGCTGCGGTGCGGAGGCTGCGAAACAGAGGGAAGGAGAAGCCCAAGTCAGAGGCTGACACCGAAGCTGAAGTTGAAACTGAAGCCTTCCGTCATGGTTTGGGCTGGACTGGCCCCTGAAACGAGTGGCAGATGCTCCCTAACTTCTCTCGCAAGTGAGAGAAGAATGAGAGAGAGACTTCTGAGTAGAAAAGAAACTAATCTACTTTAGTGAAATATTAATAGTAAAATAGTAAAAAGAAAATATAATAATTTTAATAATAAAATAATGAAATATATACAAAACCATATCAACCTCCAGGGATGATGATCACGTCACCAGCAGGCACTGGGGAAGTCCCAGTGATGGACTCAGTGATGGATGGGAGCTGAACTCAGGAACTGGAGTCAGGAATGCACGGATCGGGATCAAAGGCAGACAAACAGAGTCCTCCTCAGATGTTGGGCACTGAAGAAAGAGGGCTGACCCCTTTGATCCCTCAGCTTTTATACTGAGCATGAGGCAGATGGGATGGAATACCCTGTTGGTCAGTTTTGGGTCACTTGTCCTGTCAGCTCCTTCCTGCAGGTGCAGCCCCTCTACAAAGCCACCGCTGCTTCGGCTCCAACAGCATCATCCCCTCCATCTGCCCAGCAGGAAGGGCAGCTCTGCCTACTGCCTGTTCCACCCCTCCCCACCAGCCCTGCAACCACTCCTGCCCAGGGACATCAGAAGTCACAAGAGGTGACACCATGAAACCGAGCCCTCCATGGAGCCATCGCCGTTGAACAGTTGCCAAAAGGGGGACCACCTGCTGGCACTCCGCAGCCCCTCCAGGATGCTCCGGGCACACATGGCGACATTCTTTGGCTGCTTCTGCCTGGGAGAGGGAGCCTGTCACCTTACAGCGACCAACCATAGGGTGTTCCTGCCGCCCTTCCACACCTCCCCCGGTGCCAAAGAGAAAAGAGACTGAATGCGCAAACACGAGTTTCAGCACAAAAGCAGATTTTAGCTCTTTAGAGCATCCCAGGACAGGCGCTCCCACACCCACCCCTCCCAGCAGACACCCATGACCGCCGGTACGGCCAAGGACAGGTCCCTGGGACCCTCTGCTCCCCGCAAGCCTCCAGAGGTCCCCATCCCCGGC